GTTGTTTTCTCCTCCAGATTGTTCATCCAGCGATGGTTTCTTGAATCCTCTTTATTCTTCACTTTCCAGTTGAAGGTGTTCCTTTCCCTCTTTGATCTTCCTCCCTCACTGCCCATTTCTTTTTGTTTATTTTCTACCACTGCCCCTTTCTAAGGTTTCTAATTGCCCCTCCTTTGAATATAATTGCAGTCTCTCTTTATGCAGCAGATACCAGTTTTCAGTCTTTTAATTTTACACAATTAACCAAACCCACTGCTGTCAAGTTGATTCCAACTTGTATGACAGAACAGAACTGCTCCCGAAGGTTTTCAAGGCTGTAAGTCTTTACAGGATCCAACTGCCTCATCTTTCTCCCACGGAGCCATTAGTGGTTTGAACTGTTAACCATTTGGTTAGCAGACTAACACACAGTCCATCACACCACCCAAGAACAGCATCTTTCTACTTAGTAAATAAAATAATGGATGCACTGAGATGATACTTAAGAGAAGAAAGTAGGTTGGAACTGGGAAGTGAATGGGGAGTGTTTGAAATGGAGTATTTTGAAGCCTTATAGCAGCCATAATTAAGGCATCAGAACTGCAAATTTAGGTCTTGTTCATTTTGATAAAAGTCAATTCAGAAAAGCGAGTTATGTTTATTTTTAAAACTAGCTTACTATTTTTGGCATTATGTACCCTTAAGTGTGAAAATCTTTAATTGAGAGGTATTAGGTAAAGATGTAAAGATGGTTTTTGGTAACTAAAGAAATATTTTTTTTAATAGGAGCACCTTTAGCAGAAATGGACTCACCTCGGTTGCCTTCTCATTTGTCAGAGTATGACCGGGATACATTAGTTATTCAACCTGAGGTAAGATCTTTTAAGGACACTTGGGAACTTTGTATTCAATGTGTAATTTACATATGAGAGGGACCCCCCCCCAAAAAAAAAACCCAGAAAAACTCCACTGGGTGGAGCTTTCGTAGTATACATTTTACCTGCTAGGCTAGAATTGATCAGCTCGCTCTGAGTTAGAGAATCCAGTGGCGTCACCTGGAAAGATGGTTCTCTCTGTCACAGTGAATTTTTTCGTAAAAGCAGTTTTGCTCAAACCTTGTTTTTTGTGATGGTTGATTTAAGAGAACAGCATGCAGCTGTGAAATTTTGTTTCCTGCTCAGGAAAAATGCCACAGAAACTGTTGTGATGTTGAACACAGCTTGCAAGGACAGCAGCTATGGAAAAAACTCAAGTATACGAGTGGTTTTCGCATTTCAAAATAGGTGAAATGTCGGTTAATGACAAATGGACATCCTTCAACTTCCTGAAGAGATGAAAATATGGACAAAAATTTGTGCACTTGTGCTCGAAGACCCACGACAGACCATTGAAGAGTTGGGGAAATTATCTGGATTCTCTTGGAGCTTGGTTCAGTAAATTTTAACAGAAGATTTGGGAATGAGAAGGGTCACTGTGAAATTTGCGTCTCAGTTTCTAACTGACCAGGAAAAACAGTGTGGAATGGAAATATGCCATGCTATGAAAGAACAGCTCTGAAGCGACCCAGACTTTTTTTTCCAGGGTCATTACTGGTATGAGACATATTGCTATTACCCCGAAAGCAAATATCAGTCAAGCCAGTGGAAAACACCATTGCTGCCTTGCCCCCAAAAAGCTCATGTGAATTTTTTTTTTTTAAATGAGAGGGGAATAGTGCATTTGGAGTTTGTTCCACCAGGTCAGATTGTTAATCAAGCTTTCTATTTAGAGGTTCTGAAAAGATTGTGTAACAGTGTGCTACAAAACTAGCCTGGTTTGTGGCAGATGGGGTACTGGTTTTACCATCCCAACAATGTACCTGCTCACAGCCATCTCAGTATGTCAGTTTTTGGCAATAAACAGCATGCCTCTCTTGTTCCACCTTACTCACCTGACCTCGCTCTGTGCTACTTCTTTTTGTTTCCACAAATGACGAGGGACATGAAAGGACAGTGATTTGAATATGCAGAAGAGGTGAAGAGAAAAACAAGGGAGATGCTGTCAGCCATCTAAACAGATGAGTTTGAAAAATGTTTTCAAGAATGGAATCACAGATTTGACAAATGTATTAAGTGTAATGGAGAATGTTTTGAAGGTGATAAGGTTGTTTTGTAAAATAATTTAAATGCATAGCTTTGGGGGCAGGGATTACTTGTTGGGGAGTATCATCTTCTATACACAGACACACACACACATTTGACCATTATATAAAAGAGTTGTATACACACACACAAACATAAATACTTTTGGAAGCTTCCTCATTTACCTGTGAATGAGGGACTTCAAAATATTCATGTATTAGTGCAATTTCTCTAGTTTTTCAAGTCCTCTTATCTGTGCTTACCCCACTCCTAAATTTTATTTATTTTGTTGTTGAGAATATACAAAGCAGAACATGTATATGCTTCTTTTTGTAGGAAGTAGTAGAAATGTCACACATGCCAGAAGAGTTCTTTAATTTATATCTTCATCAAAACTACGTGGATTTCTTCGTGGAAATAGATGATCTTGTGCGAGCCAGTGACTTTCTTAGCTTTGCAGACACCCTCAGTGGCAACTGGAATGTAAGACCATTGCACTTAAATGTTGTTGTTTGTGAGTATTTCCTCAGATTTAAGAAAAGAAAGTTTATTTTTGATCACTAGTAATTTGATAGTATATTACATAACTCTTAATTACTGTGGTAAAATTAATTAAACTCAGTGCTTATAATGAAGATTGAAGAGTTCATTTGATATTTTTAGGCATAATAAAAAACCGCTTTATATCCTTTCTGTGTTGTTTAAGCTTTCATTTATTTAGCATTTGCCTTTGCTTACTTTTTTTATACTGCTTGTCATTTTGAAATTGTCCATATTCCAAAAATGTTGAAAGAATGCTCCATTCGTTACTTGTATACTCTTAACTTCGTTCACCGGGTTCTCTCATTTTGTCATATTTGTTTAGCTTCTCTTTGTTTTCACACTTTCCTTTACTGAAAATTGAAACACAATTGCAAACAGCCACAATAAACAGCAGCTATATGTGGTGATTTTCTTTTTGCTATCAGTAGCACCATAATATTCGTATGTCTATGTCGTTTGTTAGACACGCTCTTTACTCAGGGAGTATAGTACATCGGTAGGAACGCGAGGCGTGATACATTCTAACAGAGCCCGAGGATTTGCTCACTGCCAAGCAGGAGGATCAAGTTTTCGACCCTTGCACAAACCCCAGTGGTTCCTAATAAATAAAAAGGTAATTTTTAAAAAATGATGTTTTGTCCTTAGTCAGAAATAATAGTTCCTAAGTTTTCTAGAATTTTGATAAATATAAGAAGGGCAATCTCAGTCAAAGTGAAGAAGAAAAGGGTTTAAGTAGAAGGCAAATGTTTTGAGATTGATGATGGCAACAAATGTACAAATGTGCTTGACACGATGGATGTATGTATGGATTGTGATAAGAGTTGTGGGAGCCCCCAGTAAAATGATTTTTTTTTAAAGTGAAGAAGAAAAAGCAAACAAACAAAAAAAAAACCAATGTGCTAAATTTAAAGCATATACCCAAATTTACATATTAGTTGGCTTTTATTAAAATGAAAATATAGATAAAATGATTTTTTGGTTTTAATTTTATATTCTGTCTCTGGCTGTAATTATATAGAAAAGTTATCTCACCAGATGGGCTCTTAGTTTTCTCACCTGTAAGTACAGAAGTTTCGATTATTTTGAAGGACAAACATTGGGTGACCCACAAGTTGAATACAACAGAGACAACAATTTATTTTTTCAGAATTTCCAATCTTTAAGAATGAGTAGAATCATTAAATTAGGATATGACTTTTATTGAATTTCTGGAATCTCCGTGGTGGGGTAGGGTGGGGAAAGAGGCAAAAATGAGCCTGTAATTCTACATGATAGTTATCAGCCAGGACCAAGTAGCAGGTAGCATCTGCCCTTGTGAAATATGGGTGGTAGACTCCTTGATATTCCATGTAAGTGCTTATAGACCTGGAGTATGCTTCTCAGCCCATCAACCTGCTATTGCTTGGTGTTGGTTGAAGAAAATACTTCCAAGTTAAGTTGAATACTTTGGAGGATTTAGGAAAATGTGTTAAGGTTAAACTCCTATGAGTTGCTCTTATCTTCAGTAAGTTACATACCACCAAAGGCTTTTTAAAAGAATGTTAATATCTCAGTGAAAAAGGGTTTACCATATATACTCTAATAAAAACTGACCTGAATATCAGCTGAGGCACCTAATTTTACCACAGAAACTGCATTAGAAGTGTGCTGAAAAACTTGGCATGTACACGAGTATATATGGTATTTTATTGAGCACATCCTTTTTGATGTCTTTATGCTTATACACAGCATTCCTTTGATTTTTAAGTTGGTTAGTCTCGTGCTCAGTTTCTTTTCTAAAAATATCTAATTACAGTTATATAGCATAGCTATGTAGGTAAAATTTTATTAAATGATGCTTGAATAGTTACAATGGTCTAATTAGATAAGCCTTTTTAAAAATTAATTGGCTGAGGAGCTGATCTGAAGGGCTCAAGTAGAAAGAAAGTGTTTTGCAAGGGGTGATGGCAACATAATGTACAAATGTGCTTGATGCAATGGATGTTTAGATAGTTGTAAGAGCCCTCAATAAAATGTCAAAAAAGAAAGAAAAATTAATTGGAATTAGT